AAGTGTATCGCAAAGTTATATTCAGAAAGAATAAACCAGTTTTGTTTAAGAAAGGACTTCTGTCGGTAAAGTTTCTTCGGAAAAAATTTTTACGGAAAATTAACTAACGAACGGAGGCGTAACAATATCATCCCGACAATTAATTCTTGTTCGTATTCCAGACACAATTAAGTTATGGCCCATTTCTTTAAGTGTTTCTTTCAATCCACTGTACATATTAATTAGCTCCTCTGACATACCTTTCTCTACATCATTAGCCCCTACATACATAACAAAAACTGCATCTCTGCTAACCTCCTTTACTATATCTCTTACTTTGTCGGTTATATCTTCCACCTGTGCCTCTGGGTAGCACAATCTAATTCTTTTCTCCCTACTTATTCTACAGACTATCCTATTCGCATGCCTTGCCAAGGAATAAACTATAACTATAACTTCCTTAAGTTTATCATCCACATCTTTCTCTGACCCTTTTGTTTTCCTTCCTTCCAATAGTTCGTTATGTGCACAAATCAAGGGCTGACATCTGTTGTTCAATAGATTAGGCTCATTACAATTAAAACCACTACTATTAGTTTTAGCCCGAATAGTTATCTTTTTAAAGTCCTGAAAGTCATTGTTAGCTGATGTATCCTTTGCGTGTAAAAGCATAAGTTCCTCTTGAAATCCTGCTGATATTTCCCACAGTTTACTGTTTTCTATATCTCTTACCTCTACTTTAATTAGGATAGCCTCAAACTTCCTCCAACCTACAAACTCTACATACAAATTTCTCATTTCACTACTAGTACTAGCTTCCTCAATAGTACACGTCGGTCCCAAATAAAACCCATAATATGTATATAAACGTACTTGTATAACTCCACAACCAATTGATCGAGTAACTGAATACACGTGATAACTACACTGATCTGCACACTTTATTAACTTCTCACTTAATACTTCACTGAACTCTAAATCACTTAAATAACTGAACTAACTCTCATTCAAACCAATATACCCATCTAAATATTAGTCGAAATTTCTCGATTTTAATGCCATGCTCCTTTTAATTCGTCTAAATTAAAGCGTTAAAAATATAGCTTACAAAAATATATTACATTGTAGTTATACAAGAGTAAACACAGTACTTTTCAACTGCCACACAGTGCCTCTAGTGGCTCAGCAGTAAGTCTGTAGGCTTACGATGCTAAAATCCAGTTTTTGATACTCGTGGTGGGCAAAGCACAAATAGCCAATTGTGAAGTTTTGTACTTAAAAACAATCAAAGCTACACACGTAAAAAATTAAATCAAATTCCACACTAAAGTAATACCACTGAGTTACGCGAATTTCTTTAGTCGTTGATTAAAGATAAAAAATAAATAAGAAAGGAACTTCTTGTGAAATCTGATGAAAACTTTATCTTTCTGTCACTGTTTTCAATTCTTGCAAACTACCATCTTAAGCTTACATAATTTGTTGGACTATTCAGATAAGCACCAGAATTAACTATAATTTATAACTATATTTTACCAACCTGTGATATTATAAACGTCACACTTATAGAAATTTGTTATTTGTTGTTTGGAATATTTACTAAGTTTTCAAATATGAGTAGTCTGAAGTCTTTATATATTTAGTTCAATAAGATTTTAAAATAATCTCAAATTTTAGTCCTAATTATATTTGAGAAGTTTCGAACAACAAATATTTTATTACTAAGTTTGCAACTAAAATATAATGACTTGGTATGTTTCATTATGTTTATAACTTCTCTAACATTACGCTCAAGAATATGTTTTTATACATTTTGAAGGCACAATATTCCTAAATTTAATCTTTTGTCTGTGTTATAGATTAATTGTATAATATTTGTTGCATTTTTGTATCTTAGGTTAATATAAGATATTTGTATTGGTTCGTAATTTTCTTACTAACAACCTACAAATTACATATATACCAAAATATACAATTATTTATACCCAATTTAATATATGAAAAATTCAAGTTAATGTTCCCTGGTGTCACTTTTAGAAATTATAATAACTTTATTTATGGATTTTCCGCTTTCAAGTATGACTATTACTATAACTTCTATATGTGAGTTTTCATAGTTAAAGTTTTGATGATGTGATATGATTTTGAGGAACTCGCTAGTAAACAGGTATCTAAGGGACGACGTTAACTCTATTGTTTTTGATGTGTATAGGTTTTCTGTTGAAATTAGTTTTGCTTTAGTTAATTAAGACGGTTTTTTTTGCTAACAGTAACAGGGAGATTGTGGAATAACTTGAATAAGTTGCTGGGACAGTGGGAGGCCAGCCGGAGGTTAACTTTTACTTTTAGTTATAAGAAAATTCAAAAAATATGGGTTGGGGTTAATGTTTTACATTTCCAAAGGGCAGGCACGCAAGGATAGCCTCGAAGAACCAAGTGTTTCTTTGTTATTTGTATCACTTTATAAACGTATAGCCCGTCAAAAATGACGGGGTAACTACTAACACCCTCACCCCATAGTATACCCTAACTTCACATTTCATAGCTAAATAATAAATAATTATTTTGGAAAATCAAGCTTGACCAAGAAAGAGGTAGAAAAGTGCAGTCGAGGCAGTCAAACATAGGTAAATTCCTCTGTGAGCCAATCAAAATTAAGATCATTCATGAAATGAATTCATGGGGTATTCATAGAAAGATTATTTCTACAAATCAGTTAGATTAACAACTTCTAATATATAGAAAAGCCAGTGCGTTTTGGTAACACTACTTTCCAACAATGGCTTTTATTTTGTTGTTTAGCAACAAAAGTATAACCTAATATTGTTAGTCTGTGTAAGGAAAGTATAAAATGAAAGATTTACTGTATAGACAACAAAACTGGAATTATGTTTGTGGATTTCTTAATTTAGAGTTTCTGTTGATTAAATACAGGGTTACAAGCTATTTGATAGGGATAGAGTATTAAAGAGGGGACGAGGAGGAGTGGTTTTATATATAAAATGCGAGTTACATCCTGTTGAAGTTGGGAATATCAATGATAATAGCAAAGAGATTAAATCCATTTGGGTTTGTATTAGTGAATATAAAGGGAAAAGGCTTTTAGTGGGAATTTGCTACAGACCACCAAATGATACTGATGAAATTAGTGAGAAACTTTACAATGAGATTAAGATTTCAACTGTTAATGAAGTCATAATTAAGGGTGATTTTAATTTCAGGCATATAGATTGGGAAATTCTAGAAGCAAACAAGGGGGGAGAAAGGTTTTTGGAAACTGTCAAGGATGGCTTTCTTCACCAGTTAGTCAAGGAACCAACTAGAACCAATAGGGGCACATCTGGGTGCAAGTGATCATTGCTCCATTAGGTTCAATGTTTTGCTGCATATGGATATAAGGAATAATGATATTTTGGTTACAAATTTAAAAAACAGATTTTGAAGGGATGCGACAAGTTATCTGTTGTGAATTGGGCAGCTGAGTTGTTTGGTGACACTGATCAGATGTGGAAAATTTTTAAAAATATATTTTTAAATATTCAGTGTAAACATATTTCTAATAGAAAGAAAATGGTAGCTACAAGTGAAAAACCAGGTTGGCTTACAAAGAGTTTAAGAAATAAAATTAAAGAAATGCATAATAAATTTAAGAAATTTAAATTGACTGGCATGACCGGAGATTTAGAAGATTATAAAAGATTAAGAAAGTTTATGAAACAACAAATTAGGACATCAGAAAGGATGTATGAGAAAAAGTTGGCTGAAAATGAAAAAAATAACATTAAGGATTTCTTTAAATACATTAAGGGGAAATAAAATGTTAGAATAGGAATAGAACCTTTGAGGGTTGATAAAC